TATAATTATATTGTATATATATACCGATTTAAATGACGTGATGTGACATGTGACAATTGAACATTTGCCGATGCAGAGACGTTATTATAAGCAAAATATGAAGATTAAATTTACAGTTGTTGCTGCACTGCGCGCACCAGTGTAAACAGAACTACGACAGGACGGCTCCACGATTCTCAATGTCACAGAAATGAAAACTTGTACTTACATATCTCCAATTTCTAAATAATTCGTAAGAGTATGTTATGAAGTCTTTAAATTTCTGTGACTTTAATTAACTTCATTTACATATACAAATTAAGTTGAATTGATATATGCAGTTGAACTTAACCTGAATTTGTATTTTGTATTAAGTACAATCGTTGAAATATAGATTACTCAACATTGTAAAATAATTGTAAAATAAACGTTATAGTATGATAAGAATTACAATTCGACTAATGAACAGGCGATTAATATACGCAACCAGAAAGTGCATACATTATTACATTAAATCAGGTACGACCGCTCCTCGGCCGAATTCATCCAACCTTTGTATAGTTGACTTATAAAGTCTACCAAATTTTCTTAAGCATCATTTAATCTGGACTGCTACATAATTGCCTGTTGTGAATAAAATGTATTAATTTTGTTCAAACTTTCCTGAAGTAATCTGGGCCGCTCCAATTTTTATACATTTTATTAATTATTTTGTAAATATTGCAAATATCTATTATTTAAAAAATCAAATGTGGAAATTTGGTAACCTTTAATTATAAAAAACGCACCATGATAAATGCGAATATATTCAAACATCAGTTGTTTAGAAAAGAATTGAAAACGAAATAAAAAATAGAAAACCATAAGAAAAAATCAGAAATTATTCGTTATAATTGATTTCGGAAATAATGAATTTGGTTAAGTGACTAGTAATTATGGATAAATGGGTTTTTTAAAATGATGTTAATTCACGATAATTATTTTTATGTAGGATATTATTATATTTTAAAATAAAAATGGCAGTTCAGTGTTTTATATTATTCTTTTTTTTTTGTTATTATTATTATTTCTCAACATTTATTAACTTTCTATAATGAAATTGTTGTTGTTTTTTCGAAAAATAACGATACAGTTAAGGGTAAAATACAGTCATTTCGCTTGTTGATTTTTTCTCCCATTGTAACGTTTATTGAATTTTTATTCATTTTATAGAAATGTCAGTCATGGTTCATATAATTTTATAATAATTTGATTTTAACTTTTAATGATTTTATCATTTTTTTATTTTATTTATCACGTTTTTATTGAAAAATAACAACTTTAAATTGGAAATTAATTAAATATAAAATTATATTTTGACATTTTTTTTTTCAACTCAAAATCCTATTTAATTTTAATTGTATTGTAAAGTTCTCGTTTATTTGTTGTTTTTATTTTTCATTTAAATAGCAAATTTATTTAATTAACTTTTAAATGTAATTCATATATTATTTTACAATTTTTAATTCTTTAAAGCTTTATTGAACACGTTATAAACGTTCAAGAATAAAATCATATTTAATTTTCTTGAAGTTTCGCGTATAAAAAATGTTTTTATAATGAAAAAATATTGAAAAGTTTTTCTTCCGTCGGCATTACAACTTTTTTGTTTAATTCATTCTTTGCTTTACAATAAAAGTCTTTTGAATTAATACTTTAGAAATGCAATATTATTTTAGAGAACAAGGCTTTGTTGGTTATTGTTATTCGAAATTTATATAATAATTATTCGAATTCTAAGTTTATTTTACTCGTTAAACATTTTTTTTGGATATAGAGCAAAAGTTAAAAATTCAGCTTTATTCTACTAGAATAACAAATTTGTCGCTGCGCAAGTATTGACTAGACGTGCGTCTCACTAATTTGTCTTTTGAAAAATAAAATTTAGGGAAAATGGAGATATTTTAAGTTCAATATTAAGTAATTTTATTAATTAAAATATAAAAGTAACTATTCGGCATTAATTTCAATTTTAAATAGAACTATCTATTTCTTTCTCTAATTTACTATTTGCTACTTATATATTTTATTGTCACCAGTTTATTTAAAAACAATTCTTTTTAAAAAATTTTAAGTCTCGCTTTTTCTTTCACATCACATTTTGCGTCTAGTGACTGTCACAATTGTGACGAGTCTAGTAAAAAATAAGACTAGTTACAAATTATTTTTCCTTAAAGTGCAATTAATCAATAGCAAAAACTGCCGAAAAAAACCTTTTTTAGTGATAACGACACTGCGACGAAAATAAACGTTGGTATAGTGAGTAATTTGACATTAAAGTGCTCTTTAAGACTCTTTTTTCGTCGAAATAAAGAAAACGGCAAAATAAAATAATTTCACTTCAATAATTTATTGTATTGTCAAAACACTATCTATCACACTGTCAAGTATAAAAGATATTTTCGTTCAAAATTAACTATAAGTTCTTTATTTTTTGCGAATATTTTAAATAAATTTCGGGCTTCGTCATGTTCGAAAATATTATTGTACATTTCCTCTTACTCTACTCTTATTATATGATCATTTATCACCAACGCCTTGTTAAAAAAGTCGTGGTACGGCAGGGACGTTGAATTCTTACTTTATTTCACATCTTATTTTGCAGCAGACTAGAATGAGCGTGTGGTCGCGAACAAGATTGTTATATGTAATATATAAAAATTTAGCAACATTATTAAAATAAAAGATTTATTATTAACTTTTATAAGGTATATATTTTCATTTTATATTTTAATTTTGTTTTTTTTTGTTTTGTTACTTGTTTCAATATTTTTCATTATTTTTTTTCTTTACATAATTATTCAATAATTATTCCATTTATATTTTATTTATTTTATTTTTATTATAATTAAATTTAATTTTAACTTAATTATTATTTATTTACATAATTTATTTGTAAAAATTATAATATTATTTTTTTTTCTTTTTTTTTTTATTGTTTTATTATATTTTTCTTAACTAGCTATATATACTACCATAATATTTTTTTTTATTTTTTTACATTAATAAAATAAATTTCAAATTAAAATATTTAATAATTTTATATATTTTTTTTGTAGTTTGTAGTGTTTTTATTAATAATTATTTTATTTTTTAAATATAATTTTTAATATGTATAGAAAAATTTTTCTAGTATTTTTGTTTGTTTTTTGTTTTTTTTTATTTTTAAGATATAAATTGTAGCTTAATTTTCTAAATGAAAGTTAATCGAAATTTAAATCTAAAAAATTTAATTAATTAATTTAAATTAGATTTGTTTTAATTTTTTAATAAATTTCTGTTATTTAAATTCAATAATTAATTAACATCAGGATGTAATTAACATTTTAGGATTCTGATTTTAGAATTATTGCTAATTTAAATAAAAAGAACCAAATGGGTTTCAATGTATAATTGATTTCGTAGTAAGACTTTAGTTTTATAATTTTATTAAATTAAATTAGTTAAAAATATTTCTGATAGACACTGCCACAAATATTAAACAAATTCAAAAATTATAAAATTTGTTTTCAGTTTTTATAATTGGATGCGTCTCGAATAGTGCTGTAACTGAAAACATTAATTTTTAGCAAAATTTTTTCAAAGGACACATGGAATTTTTGTTTTTACAAATTTAATTAACGTTAATATCCAAAATATATAAAATTACACATAAAAATTTTAGAGGTTCGAATAACAAATATTAAAAATTATAAAATTTATTGCTAAACTTTTATTTGAAACACTAAAATTAATTGTTGATTAAATTTTGTGAACTTCAAAGTTCAATTCGTGAATATTACCTTAATTTTGAATTCGCTTATTATGTGTGGACATTTATAATTTGGACGTTTTATAATGGAATTTGTCTAACATGTGAACATTATAATATTTAATCACAAATTAAAAATATAGAAAAAATCATTTGAAATTTAGCACAAATACAAATTAATTTTGAGAAAATTTTTAATTACAATTGATTTGCAAACATTTTTTTTTGCTTGAATTTGCTTAATTTACTATAATGCGAATTTAATTTTTTTCATTTTTAATAAGTTTTACGCAGAGTTACAAAAATATTAAATTCTAATTGTATATATAGTACATTAATAATTATAATTTTTATCACAAATATTAAAGTTTATTTTATATTTCATTTAATTATATTTTATTTATATATTAAGCAATTATAATATGTTAAAATTGTAAAAGCATAATTTTGTATAGAAAGTTACTCTCCTGCATTTTGTCTTTTTTTAATTGTATTATGATTATTTAATTACTATTTATATATGAATGTTCTGTAGGGAATGAATATTCGAGATTAAATATTTATTTTTTTTTTATTTTATTCATCAGAAACGCTCATTATTTATAAAATTAATATAGAAAAGTTGTGTAAGAAGTTGGTTAACAATAATAGGCCAATATCTTTATTACATACGCTTGTACAAATTAAATAATACAATTTTTTAATTACTGATTTAAATGATGAAATAACTTCACTGAGTTCAGTGATAAAAATTAAAAATTTTAATTAAATTAAAGAAAATTAATAAAGCAGAAATATTTCAGATTTTTTTTAAACTGTGATATTGTAATATCAAATGACAATCTATTTCAAAGAATATTTAAATATACATTGATACCCTCATTAAAAAGTACAGATAAATCTATATCCTGTCATCATACTATATAAATATACACACTTAATGATAATCAAATCAATCATAAAGATTGTGTGTAAATTATTAAAAGTCTTATTTTGAAAAAATAAGAATGAAATCTACTTCGCGAGGATCATATATTTTTTATGAATGTAAATAGAAAAAGAGATAGGGGAGAAAATATTACCTAAAATTACATATACATGCACACATATGAATAGGTATATAGTTTCTGTTTTGTGTCACAAATTTTTATATAACAGATCGTTGTAAATAAGTTGTTATTTCTTAAAATATTAATAGCAGTCTACTCTTATAATAATTATAAAATAAAAATTTACTAATTCACAAAAAATTTTAAAAATATTATTTTAATTACACATACAAATACAAATTTCTATATATGTATATATACAATGTACAAAATGAAATTTATCTATTAAATTACATTCATACATATTTTAACACTTGAAATTTTATAAAAACTCAATTTAAATGTTTATAGGACCCAAGAGAAAAAAAAAAGAATAGGAAAAAAATTATTTATTTAGAAAAAAAAAAGGTAAAGGATCTAAAGCCCATTTTTTCCTTTTCTTTTCTATTTTTTTTTTTGTTTCATTTCTTTTTGACATTTTTCACAAACTAATGACTTGCATCTAATTCATCATCACTTGGACAATCATCCATTTCCATGTCAATTAGTTCATCATCTGAATCGTCACAGCTGTTTAATTTATCACTTGAATCACCACAATTTTTACCACCACCTTTTTCATCTTCTTGTTGCATTCTCTTATGTTTCGTACGACGATTTTGAAACCATACTTTTACCTGTGTTTCAGATAAATTTAATGATTGCGCTAATGCTTTACGTTCAGCACCAACAACATATTGATTACTTTCGAATGCATGTTCCAATTTTAATAATTGTGATGGTGAAAATGCAGTACGTATACGTTTTGGTTTACGGAATGGTTGTAATAAGAAATCTGAAAAAGAAAAATTAAATTTAAATTAAAAATGTGATAACATGAGTGAGGTGAGTCTATTTGTAAATTAATAAAATTTAATTTAGTTTATATTGTTTGTGTATTGCATGTGTTATTTTCAACATTCAACACACACAATATTACATTATTGTATTTTGTTTTGATAAATAAAACGACTAAATTGCATTTTGTTATATGAAGCTTTTAATTTATTTTACATACACCTTGCTAACGACAATTTATTAGTTGTGTTATAAATGGCTATAGTTAAGAACATTTAATTTTAATTTGAATTTAAATTGTATTCAAGAATAGTTAATTAGAGTTAAATGGATTGTATAGCAATTCAAATGAAGCTCTGAAATAAAATGGAGGATTAAGTTGCGTAAGTTTTCAAAAATTTTAATATATAATAATCTAAATTCAACGAGCCTCACTATATTCATTAAAATATTGTATAATTAAAAATTTCGACATTTAACTGATTTACCATATTATGGCCAACTGTATACAGTCAAATTCGTATGAGGACATATATTTGTTGCCTCTTATAATTCAATAAATGAAAAACGCTTTCTTATATTTAAATGTTAAATATGAAGAAAATTTTAGTATAACCTAGTGGCGTATTAAGAGAAAGATTTTAAAACATTCGAAAAGTTAAATTAAAACTGTAGAACAAAAAAAAAACAACGCATAATACTATTGCTGTGTCAATTCCTGATGCATTACTTTGTTTACCAAAGATTACCACAGATTTTACAAGATCAAATTGTATTGTTTTAGAACTTTGAAACCTAATTTCAATTCTTCAACATAATCAAATATAAAAAAATTTTCAGTACCCAAAATCCTCTAAAAAATCTTTTAATTTCTTGCAAGAAGTTTTTCCATTTGGACTATTATCATAAAGAAGCTGGAGCGTTTCATTGCATTTTTTGATAAATATAAAAATTGATAAACCTTATTTTATTTGTTTTATTAGAAATTATTTCATTTCTATATAGAGCTGATTGACCTCAGTTTCAACCATCTACAGAATTCAACATATTGTAACTTCCTATCTTCAAGCAAATAGAAAGCTTAAGCTAATATATCATAGACTAACATTACATTTACGTTACTTTTATTACATTTAAATATCAAAATCTTTTAAAGAAATAAACATGAAAATCGTAAAATTTTTTTAATTTATTTGCCATCCGAGTTGAAAGGATTATTAAATTCCATAAAGCTTATTTTAAACCTGAATAACTCTAAATTAGTTTTTAATTTTGTGAATAATGCTTAAAATATTTAAGAATTCCTAATTCTTTATTAAATTCCGTATTCAATAATTTTCAAATTTTAAAATTGCTTCATAAAATATTCGTGTTTCCGTTTTAGAATAAGCGTGTGTTAAGTATTTAATTTTAATCCTAATTTTATATGTTTAGTATCATTAATATTTATTTATATAATTTAATAAATAAGACATAAAATATACATATAAAAAATAACATTTTAAAACGCAAAACTGTAAAAATTTATTTCCTAATATTCTTTAATTTTTTTTTTTTTTTGTGTGGTACAGAGTGATACAGAGTGACCCACGAATTAGAAGAATTAATGAAAACATAGCTTATTGAACCGTAAGTTTGAAATAGATTTGACCTTATATTTGAAGGCTATCATAAGGTACACAGGTACGTTATGATATCGTTGGCTCACCAAATCAATAACATCGAATATTTGTCAGTTTTAATTTAATTATTCATACAATTATTTGTTCTATCAAACACTCAATAAAAATCTTTTTGATTATCTTAGAGCATAAATTGTAAATTTAACTAGAAAATTTACTTATTCAAATTAATTGTGCATTCTTGCATGATTGGGGGCGTACATCAAATTTTAGAAAAACATCAAACTGTTAGTTACGTATTTGTACTGCTATAATAAATATTCAAAACAAGTAAAATGGAATAATAAACGTTATATTTTTAGATAATTCATTTTAAACGTGAAAATCAACTTTCAAAATTTAAAACTGTAAAGCTAAATATGTACAGCATTCTCACAGTTCGTATATGCAAGAATATAAAAGGAGCTCTATACGCATATCGTTATATGCATATACATATGTACATAATATTTACGAGTTTATTATGGCAAAAGTTATCCATACAACTTATTAAATTTTATAAACTTTTAAACGGATTTTAAAAGTTCGAAAATAAAATCATAATTTTTAATAGAGGTTGAAGTAATAAAATTTAATTTTTTTGATTATTTTACATTTTTTTTTTTTGTTATTTCAAAAATTTTAATAGAGCGATTGGAAATGATTTTTTTTTTTTGCCCAACTTTAATTATAATAAACATAAGTATTTAAAAAGAAAAAAATTTTTTTTTTTTTGAAAAATAAAAAGAAACATTTTTTAAAGATGATTAAAAAACAATAAAAAATAATTTATTTAAAATAACCACATAAACAGTGAAACCCTCTTTAATCGAACTTTTTAATTTTAGGCACCTAACCGAATTCAATTTATTTAATGGTACACTAACGCTCCTCAATATGTTTGACTCATGTTCTTTGGATTTTAAAATACAAGTTTCATTGTTTATAAGTAGGTCTACAAACAGATAAAGTCATGTTTTTGTTTATATATTTTTATGTATAACAGCATGTACTATTAAGTTTTTAATATTATAATTTAGAAAAAAAAAAATAAAAATAAATTATTTTTGCCTAAATAACCATAATATTTTTTTTTTGTTTTTTAATATTTTATTACTTCTGACCTAGCTTTAATGATTTATTTTTGGAAAAATTAATGAAAATCATTTTGTTTTGTTTTTTTTTATTTTTATTTCTCTTAAAGGTTACAAAAAAAAAATATTTGATTCAAATTAATGAAGTCGTTAAAATTAATATAATGAATTTCAAAATAAAATATTCAAAATCTATATACTTATGTATGTGAAATTAAGATATATTATATACATACATATATATATACATATACATATGTTCAAAATTTAATAAGTATATGTATATAAGCATATTATTGTAAATTATAATTTGTACCCCCAATAGTGAATTTTATTGTATGATTTAGCAACATTTTATTATTGTTAGGCATTATTTTAATAAATATACTTCATATACGTACATATAAACCCGAAAAAGAAAATAAAATGAATTATGTGGAAGTCAAAATAATATGTTAAAATAATAATAATTTATAATTTTACCCACATAATATTCACAAGGCAAATTTTCTAATAATAAATTTCATCTTTAAAATCAATGAATTTAAAACGCATAACCGAATATAATAATTATGCACACGTTTTAGGTTGATTCTATTTTTATTATTATTCAAACAAAAATAAAAATAAATAAATTTGCATAGCAACAGGAGATTTTATATAAAAAATCAAAATTTTTATTACTTGTCAATGTAAAATTTCATTGTATTTTTAAAATTTGCATATGAAATTTTGAAAATTTTTTAATAAAAAATTTATAAATAAAAATATGTAGTTTTAAAAAATTAACAGGTAATTTGAAAATATTTAACATATAATAATATTAAATTAAAAAATATTCGTATAACAGTTGCTTTTATAATAATATAATGTTACAATGCTTTAATATTTTTCATTGTTTACTATGTTACGCTCCTATAATGAAGTCTATTGAATGTTATATTAAAATAAATTCACATATTAGAACACATATATTTAACCGTTATACATATATATGGACGTGTAAGTTATACATATTAGTGTTAGAATACAAATAAATTGTTTTAGTCGAATTCATTTGCAGTAGTGAAAATTATGTTGTATTTTAAGGTAAATTCTAAATCTGTGAAATACTATTTATATATTTTTAGTGTCCCTCTTATTCAACAACTTACAGTTTTATATTCGAATTTGTAAGGCAGTATATTTATGTAACAGATTACTAAACCCTTCGATAAGAAAGTATTTTATTAATTATTCGTCATGCATTTGCTTAGAATTAAATTGAAAGATTTAATGATTAGAAGTAGGTAGTTTAAGACTTTATATTAGAGATAAGGTGAAACTAGTCATTATTGTAACTGATCTACCACTATGTATTCTAGCTTTTTTGAGTTTAACTTCAATGTTTTTAATATATTATAATTCTTTAGCTGTAAGATAAAAGTATGTATTAATTATATTGCTTCCTTAAAAATGATTGTTAAGGGCCTAAGGCAAAATAGTAATATAATTTACATCATAATTTTCATTATATCTGATTCATCAGAAACTATTTTCCTATATTAAATATTAACAGTATAAATTTTCTTTATTTTTTATAAACAGTATAACAGTGTAAATTATAATTGGCACATCCATTTGCTCAAGACACTAAACATTAATTTAATGTCGAATATACTTAATATATTGAGTATAATGTTACGATTTGCACTAATCAAAACAATAAGAAAACGTTAAAATACCTTGGTTACCAAGTTTAAATACAGGAACAATTAAAATTTCTAAAGAAAACATACTTATTAATTAAAATAACCCTTGAATAATTCGGGAATGTTATAAAAAAATAAAGTAATTTTGTTTTGTTTGGTTTCGTTCGCGCTAAAAGCCGTTTCTATGGTGCGACAAGCTAAAAAAAATTGGAATTTTAATCTTGCTATCGTCATTTGAAGGTGAATTAATTTTATTTGTATGACATTTGCACACAAAAATAAAGTAAATTCGTACTTATAAACTCTCAGAAATCTTCAGAGCTTTCAGAAATACATTGTTCATATACGAAGCAAAAAGACAGTGGTTACAAATTTTGAAAAATTAGTAAAAAATCTAAGATTTCGCTGAAGCACTGTATCTACTGATCTAACGTTTATCAGCATAGAAACAATGTACATTAAGTGTTATAAATAGAACTCATTTACAGAATTCTGTCAATTTCTACGTTGCATGGAAATGCATAAATTCTATTAGCTCATCACGCTTTACTTAAAAATTGGTTTCGTTTCTGAATGCGAATTTAAATCAAAACTTATTTAATATTTCAAAATTTTTAAAGTACCTAAGGTATTTCTTACATGTTCTTAAGGTATTCGGACTTAGGTCGTAATAATAAAATAAAAATAAAATTCACATTACAAAAAAATAATTTACAAAATTAATTTTCAAGATAATATGCATAATATCAGCGGCATTATATCGAATTTCAAATTTTGGTTTTATTCGTTTGATTTCCAAACAGTTTTCACAACACAAAATGATTAAAAAATATAAAATTAGAGTGTGTCAATCTTTAATAGCACAATTAATCTTTGAAAAAATAAAGTTAAAGAAATATTTTAAAATCAGTTTCAAAATTCGTTAATAAAATTTTATTTGATCATAATTTCAAATATACACACAAACTTCTCATAATTTCGGTTTAAATATTTTAAAACCAACTAATTAGCAGCATCATAAAATTCATATTCACAAAAACATATCCTGCTGTTTTTACCTAATACCTGTTCAAAAAAAAGCAACTCTAATTTTTAAATTTTGACTACCAAATTTATAACTTTCTTTTAAATGTCATAAAATTAGGGAAAATAATAATAAATATTTCTTTTACGGCCTTCTAATTCGTCATATTTTTAACGTGGTACTAATCCCTTTCCAATATTTAATAATAATTTCAAATTATTCATTGAATTCATGGAATTTTCAACGAAATTTTATTTTTCTTTTAAACCGAAGACGCACCCATAATAAAAAATATAATTTAAATATAAATTTGACTACCGAAATATTCACCATAAAGATTAGAATGCCATTAATATTATAATCCTTTGAAATAGTACCGTCGGTGAAATGATTTTTGTTTTTGATAAAATTTAAATCTACTGTTATATAATATGCTTGTATATATGTATATATACAATTATAATTTAAAAATTTAACTTACTTCCTGGGAAACGATGTGGAAATATCCTTCCGTGTCTTGATAATAACCATGGATATAATGGATAACTATCTCTTGGTATTGCAGGATGATTTGGTAAAAATGGTGAATGTGGTGGCAGACCAGCTGCTGCGGCTCCTAATACATGGCCAGCTTGTAAAGCAGCAGCCATTTGAAATTGTGCTGCAGCTAATAAATGTGGATTATGATGTTGTGGAGGAACCATATCGGGTGAATTAATATACGGTGGTAAAGCTTTAATATCAGGTTGAGGTGGTTGACCTGGTGATTGATGTGATGATGGTGGTGGAGGTGGCCCACCTGCTACCGTTGGAAAGGGTCTTATTAAACCAGCTGGCATACCAGGTACAACAATTGGTCCTTTACCCATTACACCAAATTGTGGATGAAGTTGTGTTCCTGATGGTATACCATTACCGCCACCACTACCATTTGGAGAATTTTGTTGTGTTGTTGTGGCCGTTGATGTTGATAATAATGGTGATTGACTATCTCTTAAACTATGATGATGATTTAAATTATTTGGTGATGAAGATGGTGATTGATTTATTGAATGATTACTACTATTTGGATAATTATTGCTATTATTATTATTGCTATTATTGTTATTATTACAATTTAAATTAATTGGATTCGGTGTTGTATTTGATGATGGCGATGGTGATGTTGATATTGGTGGTGTTAAATTACCATGAGATGATGGTGGTGGAGATCTTTCACGTTTTAAATGTAAAGCTAATGGAGGAACATCTGGTGATAATCTTGTTTGTGTCAAAGGTGGACTATACGATGAAAATTGTATATTATTATTGCTATTACTATTGTTATTATTATTAACTAAATTATTTGCTGTATTTTGCAATCGATTTATTAAATCTTGTATATCTTGTGGTCTTTGATTTTGATGTGGTATTGGTGATATTGATGTTTGTTGCATATCTCCAGTCTTAGGTGAAGTTTGATGATGCTGATGATGTTGATGAATTTGATGATTAAGATGATGATGATGTTGATGTATTGCATGATGATGAAGCTGTTGAAGTTGCCCTATATGATGATGAAGTTGTGTTGTTGGTGATGTCGGTGACATTGTTAAATTATTTAAATTTGTTTGTGGTGGTGAAGTTGTTGTTGTATGTGATGTTGTTGTTGTTGCAGAAGAGTTGGTTGATGGTGATGCATCATTGCCAACAATTGATTCAATACTAAATCCAATTTTTTGTTTCGGTGTTGGCATCATCACAGCGGATGTTGGAGCCGGCGGAATCATTTTAGTCATAAATTACACTTTGAAAATTAACAACTTTTTTCTTTCCTTTTAAAATTTAATGCACATAGAATTTTTAAAAAGATTTACTCGATGTTTTTATTTTGTTCAAATATTTTTTTTCATTAAATATTTCAATTTAACTAAGATTGATTAACAACTTTTAATATTTTTACATTTTTTATATTTTTCATAATTTTTTTTTGTCACAATTTTTTCTTTTCTTATAAAATTTACTTAATATTTCGTTTTTTTTTTTTTCTAAATTAGTTTTAAATTGATTCAAAAATTTTTTCTACAATTTTATTAGAAAATTTAATTCTTCAAGTATGAATTAACCAACGGGAATTCATAAGTTTTATTAACCCTTTAATTTATTTTAATAAAACACGCAAAATAATTAATGAAATTTTCGTTTAAACATTTTTAAACAACTTTATTTTTTTTGTTTATTTTTATTGCGATTTCTTTTTTTTTATATAAATTTAATCACAATTTTTTTTTTATCAAAAAATTTCTCACAATATTATTATTATATGTTATACGAGTATAACACTTCACATTCAATTAAAAACAAAAATTCAATAATACAATAAAAATGAGAACTCACACAAGCGACTCAAGCGACCGTTGAGATCAGAATGAATCAAGTTTTTTGATTCGTACCACACATTATCTTGTTGGAAAAAAAAAACTTGATTATTACACTACTAACACTTATGTTTTTGTTGTATACTACTTATTTTTTTTATAACTTTACTATTGCCGTAGAGTTTTAACGGTATGTAGTTTACTAACACAATCATTAATATTATTAGCCAATACAATCACATTTAATATTGTTGTATTGCTTAATAATTGAGACACCGTATTTAACTGTTTAATACTACCTCATACACATTTATATAATACAAAAGGTGTAAAGAATTTTTTTTTTCACTCTCTTCACAATACAAACATAGTTGATGTAGAAAATCATGCTCAATTATATTTTAATATAGGTGATGCCTCATCTTTTTTTTACACAACCAGTTTTTCTTTTTCAAGAATGGTGAACACTTAATATGAGTGAATTGTGAACACATGTTATTTAGATGTAGTAGTAAGAATAGAAAAAATAATTAAAGAACAGCCAAATATATTATTATAACAATTTAATTTTTTAATAGTGTTTTACTATATAATAATTTCCACGTTAAACTCTTATATATTTTAAATATTATGCTTATGATTATACCATTTTTTTTGTTGTTCAAAAGTTGGTTGTTTTGTTTTTGGTGGGTTGGACTTAAATTTTATTTTCAAGTTACATACACAACTGTAATTACCTTATATTTTGTGCAATATAATAATTATATCTTTTATATAGTAATAATTAAATATGTGTAGGTATATTTTGTATATTCGGTTAAGTGTATATAGAGATATATTAGTTCTTTAAATTAATGTGTACATTTTTATTGTATAAATACATCCTAATGTAACTAAATTATCGGCATTATTTGAGTTTCCAACAAAAACAAAAAAAAAAATAAATAAATAAAAAATTAAAAAAAAAAATTGGAAATATAAAAGCAAATCATGTTTTTTTTCTGTATTCTCTTAAGTAAGCTCCTTCTATTGGCCTCAAGGGTTGAGTTAAATTTCTACAAATATACAATAAATACTTACAGTTTATCTTAATTTTCTGTTATATTATGTAGGTAAGTATATACAATATTTTTTTTTTGTATATTATTATTTAATGTACTTATGCTTTTTTTTTATTCATTTTCCTCATTTTCTACTTTTATATGTTTCCTTTTATACAATTTTCTTTTATAATTATGTGCACATATATATGTATGTCTATTATATACATATGGATGTATAAATATTCAATATATAATTTTAATATTTAAGTATTTACAAAATTAATTATTATTGTTATACATTATGTTATTTATATACATATATGAGTTTTATAGAATATGTAGGTATATATGTATATATGTATAATTATTTGTAAGTAAATATATATTTTCTACTAGAATATATTAGTTTATAATTCTAGCTAGCTTTTAATTTAACATTTTATAATTAAAGTTAAATTAAATGAAATTAAATATATAAATAATTTATAAATACGATATTTAATTATAAAAGAATTAGAAATAATGATATATAGGTATATAGGCAATATACATATAGACAAATATTATTTTGTGCGTTTAATTATGTATGTCGTAAATATATATAATTACACGCAATAATATATACATATATAATAAGTATTTTATATTATGTTTATGGAAATGATTTTAAGTAAATTAACTTTGTTTATGAATTCATTATAGAAATGAGATTCGAATTTATCAATAGTTTATATATATATTTACAAAATTAATATATAATAATATTGTGCATGTTTAACTAATAAATATACAATATTATTTACAAAATTATATAATATACTTATATCATTTATAAATCTATCTGTACTTGTTATAAAGCTATTATATTGATTTCATTAGGGCGGATACGAAAATTATCTTACAGAAAATATTATGCTTTTAAGTGTATACCTATCACTTATTATATATATTTAATGAATTTGAATAAAATTTTATATTACTTTATATAACATTATGACCGTATTTAAATTATAGGTGAAAACCAAAATAATTCTAAATATATTTTCTAAAATAAGTTTTATTTTATTTATTTTTTATTTTCTTTTAGACTTTTAAAAAAATTTTGTCATAATAATTAATAAATATATAATATATAAAAAGAAATATACCTATAGTTGTCATTAATTATAAAACAATTATGACTCAACAAAAACGGATTTACTTAATTTTTCGGATTACGTAACACAAATTGGACTACGTGTTTGTAATTTCTGTAAGGTGCTACATTCAGATTAAAATATTTGCAAGTAGTTTTGATTAATAAATAAATATACTTTATAACTGTGCACATCCAAAACCTGAATTTTATTTTTCAAAAATTGTTCGACTTTCACAAACTGTGTTATTTTCGGATAAAGCGCCGCCAAAACTAGAGTTCCAAATATAAGTTATGCCCTATAAGTTAAATAACTATAAATAATTATAGTTATTTTAGAATATAAATAGTTCAACGTATGTGTGTGTAAATGGCCGTAAATATTTGCTTTTTCAACTGATTCTATAATCAAGCAAAATTTATGTGCAATGTTTGTTGTATAAACGCTCTTTAGCATTTGGATTTGTTAATTCATTTCTACAAAAAAAAAATTATAGAAAACTTGATTTGCCAAATTTTTGTCTTAAATTACTTCGAAATAATTAATGAGTCAATTAAAATTGAAATATCGAAAAGAAAGTAAGGTCAATGATTCTGGTTCGAAATACACTAAAATAAATTGAAATACATGCTAATTTTCTTAAATCTAAGCAATTTTTAATTATTTCGAAATATCGATAGCAAAATAATTTTTTTATCATAATACTAATTTCCAATTTTACAGTATTTCAAATTATGTATGCGACGAGAAATTTTTTTTGTTTCTTAAATTGTGTTTTAGAATAAAACGATATGTCCCACAGTTGTAAGATGAATTTAAAAATTTAGTTATATAATAATCCTTTTAAAAAAGTAAAAGGAAACTTAAAATAATAGTGTTAACTTTCGATTACTAAATTACATGCAAAACTATGAGTCTTCATATAATATATGCTAATTATTGCATATCAGAGGGGTCAATAAAATTAGAATGTACAAGACGTTAATTCAACCTGTACTTGTTAGGACGAGGAAAAGTTAAAAATATTTGAACGAAAACTGCTCAGAAAAATATTTGGTCCAAAATTAAATGAAAACGGGGAATATGAAATTAAATCAAATCGGGAGCTAGAAGACTAATTAATTTCAAAAATATCGTCAAATATATTAAGGGACACAGACTAAGTTGGGCAGGACACGCATCTCAAATGCCAGGACGTCGAGTGCAGAAAAGAATCCCAGATGCAAGGCCACAAGGGCCAGAGGCCGGCCTAAATCTAGATGGCTCGGTGGTATAGAGACTGATTGTAGAAGAATTGGGGTTCATGATTGGAGAGAAGCTGCCCAGAACCGTGAAGTTTGGCGGAAAATTGTGAACAAGGTCAAGGCTCACCCGGATCTGTAGAACTAAAAGATGATGACGAAGGGGCATTCAACTCCAAATTTCACAATTTTCAAATTTCAGTATGAGAAAACAGTTTTTGCTTTCGTTCAGCGTTTGCCAATATGAATGCCTGAAAATATTTCGTTCACTTGAAGGCTATTTTGCATAATTAGAAGATGTATATAGGGAAATTATTAACAAACTTAGAAAAGTCGCATTTTAAAGATCTAAAATCGAAAATTTACATTTTTAGAAGTTGGAATTTATTAAAGAAAAAAAAGGACCATCAATTTCTTGAAATTGGACGTAATTTAAAATGAAAATTGTATTAAAATAATGAAATTTATTATTTCATGCGCCTCCTTGAATTTCAACAGCAGCTCCTGAATGGGCCTGAATTTATGATTATCTGATTATGATGTTTTAGGTCTGCCCGTTCAATGAACTCAAGCAGTTTTCACATAATTTTTTTCAATCAATTTAATTTGAATAAAATATTGTTTAACACAAATATTTCTTTTGTCTTGCAATCCATCGTAATTTTTAGACAATTGTGAATGTGTATTTGCACATATTCAAAATGATTATACCCTAAAATTCTCCATAACCATAAAAAATTAAAACTAAACTATTAGTTATTTAAATCAGATCATAATTAGAAAAGTTTTACTTATACATTAATACAAAAATTTTTACTTTAATTTAAATTAAAAATATTCTTAAAACTTTTAAAGACGCATAATTATATAAGAGAAGAAAAAAATCGGAAATAAAACGCTCCCATTTTATTTTTTTGTTATTTTTGTTTTCATTTCATTTTCTTTTTCCTTCTTGTCATTAAAAATTAAATTATAAAAATTACTGAACTTTAGCTTTACCCCATAAAGACTTCATTACTTTATTGCTACAAATACATTTATACTGATTACCAAATAAATTACCCAAAATCCTTTTTATATATTCTTGTATTTGTGTATTATACAATATAGGATACACAATGAAAATTTGTATAAAAAAAATAAAAGACAAAAGCAAAAAAGAAATT